CTATATGATTGTTCTTTTTCTATATAGCGCTTTCTGGTTCAACACGGAAGGCGATTTGAGAAAATCTAGCAGAACTCTTTCACAAATATCAAAGAATTAATGTATACCAGTAAGAATAGATAAAATTTCCATTCGATAGTTTTTTTTGCAAATGAAGAGCTACACATACACATAACCAATTACACAAGAGGACTTATTTTCATATTCAACACATTGCACACAACAAAATGATCTTGGCATAACTTCAATCACTGTAGATCTTCACATCCTATCAACCAAATTTGAAACTGACATTTTGTACAAGTTTACAATGAACATCAACACTCAGGCCATTTTTTCATCATCTATCTTCCCCAATCATTTTCCAAATCTTAAGCTAACCATCAAGAAGTGAATAAAGGAGCACCTGAAACATCTGAGAATGGCTGAAGCGCACTGATCCTGATATTATACTTCTTTGAACCTCCAACACCATTTCCGGAGCTTGAGTCTGAATTATCTGAGACAATCGGAGATGAGCTCTCTTCATAACAGCTACCAATATAATTTCCACATTTTCGACAAAGAAGCTTCGTTCTCCTCCTGAAAAGTCCCCATGAGTTCTTGGAAGTGAAGTATGGTAGGCATTTCAACTCATCGGTTTGTGAGAAACGACTCTCATCTACCGAGTAAAATGACACAACCCCCTTTTTAATTGATTTTTTATACTTGGATCCAAGATTTGTGGTGTTTCGATTCGATGAGTTGAGATTTAGTTCATACCCACAAGACCCACAACTGCAAGAGCGGCATAAACGTTACCATTTGGAGGATCAATTAAGGTTTTGAGAAGATCATAGAAAGTCATGATTAAGGACTGTGCTAGAAAGGTAGATGAATTAAAAATTGGTCAAACTTCAAAAAAACAACCATGATGGGGAACTTTGCACAAAACTACTGTAAACTATTTTTATTAGAAAAAAAACACTATGAACTTTCAAAACTACAGAAAGATATCACAAACTATTGAAAAATGTTGTTAATGATGTTAACATCTTGGTTAAAAGGTCTAACTTATCCTTGTATCTATCAACCCACAAAGTTCATAAGGCTATACACACAGACACACACACACACATATCACATATGTATACATATGTGTATGTATATGTATGTGTGTGTGTATGTATGTATAGGTATCTATATATACATATGTGTGTGTGTGTGTGTGTATTTATATAGAATAAGGGTCAAAATTTGTTCAAAATATGTCACACGTGAAGCACATAGCAACTTTCCCTAAACTATCATTAGGCATGGTAGTTTAGTGAAAAATGTTCATGGTAGTTTTCTTTAACACCAAAAGGTTTAAGGTAGTTGTGTGTGAAACAGCCCCAATGTTGTTAAAAATTTATGAACTGAGTAATCAAAGATAATGATTGAGAATTCATCCTCCCTTTGTAGAGTTCAAGGGCATCTATGCTTGTATTGGTCAACAAATGTTTTCTTTATCACATAAATGGACACTTCAAAGTGTTAGGCGTAGATTAGGTGAAACAATGACCAACTCCATTAGGGAATGCACCAGCTTCCCAATAATTAGGGATTTGGATCACCTTTACCGTGATTTTGGCAGTGGAGAGACTATTTTCTCAATCACAACCATCTAAATTCAAATTTAGACAGTTGTGATACATTTCTAATATAATTAGAACTATGAACCCTTAATTGCAAATGGCAGGAGACAGGACCCAAATCACTCAAGAGAAGCAGAAAAAGAAAGAGATCAATTTCTGAGAACTGAAATTGCCCACAAAATTTTATAATAATTAGCACCCAATCTTTTGTTTTCACTCATGGGTTTTGAATGTCGAACCTAAATTGTTCAGATAAAATTGAAAACCTTCAAATTGAACTGT